TTACCACTTTTTCTGTGGAAAATTAATAGCGGCAACTAAATCATATATATATTTTTTCATTCGATTTCAGGTTAAAGGTGCAGCAAAACGGTAATATGCAACGGGTGGCGATGAAATTTGGTTTGTTCGATTTGTTTTGAATCTACATATAAGTGTGTCGAATTTGGTTCAAAGCGGTTCAGATTTAGATATAGCTCCAATATATATGCTCTATCCGATTTCACGTCTATGTAACTCAAAACCCACAAAATACATCCGATCATCGTAAAATTTAGTTTGCATATTTTTTATAGGCTAAAAACAATTCAGAAAAATTTGTTTCAGATCAGGTCAGATTTAGATATAACATCCATATATATGTTCCATCGGATTTCACGTTTAAACCACACCAAAATCGCAATATACATCCGATCATAACGTAAATCAGAAATTTCTCAGCCAAATTTGGTTCAAATCGGATCTGATTTAGATATAGCTATCATATATATGTTCTATCCGATTTCAACTTAAATCACTTGTTTGCATTATACCAACCTTTGAAGAGTTATACTCTAGAAGGAGAGCAAAATTTGCAAAGAGGTCATATTAAAGTTTACTGCAAGTCAATATATCAAATTACTTTAACTCTTCGTAGGCTAGAGGGTTATTTTCAAGTATAGTGTCGCAAACATAAAAATGTTTTGATTTAATGATATATATGGGAAATTACAAAAATCTTTTAAATTCCTTGAAGCTGGGGTTTGCAAGGTTATAACTCGCGAAATATGAACATATTGCATATAATTAAAATTCAATTCTATAAAATGAAGTGTTCTTGTCAAAATCTTAAAATATTGGTAATAAATAATAAGTTGCGTGGAAGCTGTGATGGTGGTAATGTAAAAAAATGGGTGAAAATGTGTTGAAGCCAACGAGTTTTTTTGTGTTCCTTCCTGATTTGTGGCTAAACTACACAACGCACGCACATGTGATCAGTGACTAAGTTGCAGAATACCCCATGGACAATATGGTTCTAATGTATGATTTTTCGATGTAATCACTGCATCCACCCAAAATGGATGCTGACATTTTGAAGCCGGATTTTCCGTGTTTTTTTAATTTTTCTTATAATTAGGATGCGCATCCAGATAATAGAATAAACTAATTATAGGATTGTAGAACTCGTGATTCTGCTTCGTTTAGTGTATATCTCATGAATGTGCTCACTGTAGCTTATTTGCAATTGGGTTCCAAAGACGAAAATTTGGTGCGTAAATTTTTATAAAAAACATATTTTTTGAGTCTAAAATTAACAAACTCCATTCAAATTCCGTGGAACCCCGCGTGATTTTGGTTTTTTTACGTGCCGGATCTAATGAGCCCATTCATGTTCAATTCCGCCCAATAAAACGGCGGATACAGGTACCTTGAATGTGGGAAAAACTGCAAAAACTTATTTTGACAAATTCGCGTAAATAATCGCGGTTTTCTTCGAATTAATTTTACATGCATTTATGCTTGTATTGTCAAATTCGCGAATCTGTGTGAAAATAGGTCAAAAATTCATCGATACGCGAATAATATGCGTACTTTATCCAAAATTGATTGTGGAGGCACATCCGCGGTTCTTAACCGATCTTTTTAAAATAGGTGTCCTTTTGTGTATTTTCATAGGAGATTACTGAAATCGGATGCGCATAAAAATCGTATGCACGTTGCGTGATTTTTAGCCATTTTTAGGGTTTTTGCATAGTAAAGTGCATCGAGTGGCACACTTTGACCGCTATATTAAACATCGAAAAATTCATAATTATTGAAAGACATTGATTCGGTTTATACGAAAATCGCATGCGCATCAACTGATTTCAACTAATTCGCGAATTGCAAGCTTTTCAATATTGATAATTTTTATGTATTGTAAGTGCAATATATTTGGCCATTAATGACGTCGAAACTCGTATCAGATGAATCTACCGATATTTAACAACCATCTAAAAGAATTTGCAGAAGAAAGCGTCGTATATTTTAGAAGATTAAGGCAAAACCGTATCCTCTTAACCATACTAAAAAAATCGAAAATTAAAAAAAAATTGTTTTAATTCAAAATTTAATTATTTTAATTTTCCGATATCTTCATGTTTCTATTTGTTTTTTCGCGACTATTAAACCGTATTTCAGTGTGATTTGACTAGTATGCAAAGAAAACAATGGTGTTTAAGCATTTGTGAAGAAATTCGCGAATTACAACGAATAGGAATCCATTTAATTTATATTTGAAATACAAGATTTAAAACCGCTATAACTTTTGTGCGCAGCATCCGAATTTGTGAACGCGAACAGATTTCGAATCAGCATATTTTTCTTAACCTATGTACCAAAAATCATAAATGTGCTCGCAAAAAAATTTTTCAAAATTTTTTTAATGAAATTTTAAAAGAATTTTGTAATTTCCCATATATTTTCCATTTTATACTAATTAATTATTGTAAACACAATCAAAATAATACGCACTCAAAGTTCACTAAGCCCCACAGAAATATAAGCATATTTATAGAATAAATTGTATTGAGCGACTTGCACGGCCAGATGTGTAGCGGTACCTTATATTTAACACTAATAAATATAACGTCTCTCTATTTTGGAGTGTTCTAAATACAAAAACAACTCGTGAAAAGCGACACTTAGATTTTTTCAATTTTGCACTAAAACCGGTCATTTGACCTATAGTACAACGTACGGAAGTTGGTGTAGCCTAACGTGTGCCAAATGTTATTGAAATCGGTTTAGATTTATATATAGGTCCCATATATGTGTTCGTCCAATTTGTATCAAATTGTGCACCAAAGAATTAAAGTATGCACTAAATAATGAACTGATGATTGTGGATGAACTGGAGATTATATCTTCAACAGCATCTTCATGATGCTGCACATCATGAATAGTTTGATTTAAATCGATTTACATAATTTTCTAAACGAATCTAAATTTGCCCTTTGGTATAGCTTCCCGAGAACATGTGTGTGGATTGATGTACCAAAGAGGAATCCATTATACCAAATTTCACCGAATCCGGCTGAAAAGCACGCTCAAGAACCCAATTTGATACCCACTAAGAACCCATTGCACCAAATCTAGGCGAAATTTAAAAACACAAAATTGGGGGGACCCTTAGATGCCTATGCGTGGGCCGATATAGCTCATGTTCGAACTAGACTTACCTGCAGACAAAAGACAACTCTATGTTGCCGTTTAGCCAAAGTGGTAAAGGGTATCATATTTAACATGCTTCGGAATGTCCTATTTGGGCCAAATATGCACCGTTTTGTTGTAGGATTTGCTGCAATTTTAAAGGTAGTCCTGCTCTCTATTTGCAAATAAAATCTAGTAGTCGATTTTCAGAATCCTCCCTAGAAACTAATTTTTTATCATTAAATAAATTTTGCAATGCAAAAAAGATGATAATCGCTTGGAGTCAAGTCCGGACTGTATGGCGGACGCATTAAAACTTCCCAACCAAGCTCCCGAAGTTTCTGGCGAGTCACTGTAGATGTGTGTTGTCCTGGTGGAACACGACATATCTGCTGTTGGCCAATTCTGGCCGTTTATGGTTAATTGTAAATGGATTATATAAATGGTACACCAAAGTCCCTATATATCCTTCGATTTGCACGGAATTTAACACAGCGTACTGAATAAAGCCCGTGTTAAGTCTTGTGTTAAGTTTCGTGAAAATCCGTTCATATATATAGCGTTCATATAGGGCATAGCGAACTAAATAAAGTCTAGAATGATGTGTGATAAGTTTCGTGAAAATCGGTTCAGATTTAAATATAGCTTTCATATATATTTTCATCCAATTTTATTTAAATGGTGCACCAAAGTCCTTATATATCTTTCGATTTGCACGAAATTTGGTGTACGAAATTTGTGTGATAAGTTTCGTGAAAATTGATGGTCCTCGCCGATTTTTTCAACACAAGTGTTTGTAATGAGTATTAAGTTTTCCTAGAGGATAATAAACTTCCTGCAAATAATAGATATTGTAGGACAATGCTTTGTCATAGCCCCTCCATAAGGGTCCATCATATTTAAATATTCCAAATTATAATCTGTTGGTAGATCCATACAAAAGAATTTGCCTTGGCCGAACTTTACAACGTTTTTCTTTAAAGATATTTTGTATGTTACATAATTTTCGAAAACAAAATTATTATATTTTCACTCTTCAAACAAAAAAAATCTTTTCTAAAGCACGCACTATGTGGTTTGCAATATTTGTCGGAAATATATGTTATAGATATTGTCTGCAATTTTTCCGGATAGTTTTATGGACATGAACCAAATCAAAAGACAGTAGAAGCAGCTGCTTTTTAGAAAAAAGTAAAATGTGTTGAAATGTTTTATTAGAGATATCGTTGTAAATCACTTGAGATTGCATAAATGAATGATAAATGATTTTGTGTATGGAATGCAAGGTGAGGGGCACTTATAAAGCTTCGTAATTTTAAACACACTGTCCTTTTTGTTATTTCCAGGAATAAACCTAAACTCGGCTGGGCTCCCAAATTGTAAGACTGGCAGGAATAATAAGCTGCGTTTTTTGGTTTGTTTACAAATAATGAGTTTAAATGTTATTTATTCTCTGTAATGTTTTAAAAAAATTAACAAAAATGAAGTTTATTAAAGATAAAAATGATTAATTTAAATACAATAAAAACTAACACGTCTTACTTATTTTTATACAACAAATAAAAACAAAATGGAGAAATTGGCTTAAATTTAGTTTTGTCTCCCTCGCCCAAGTCTCCATTGACTCTGAACAATATCTGGATCGCAAACAAAAACAAGGCAGGCCACATCCAACGACCGAGGAGGAAGACACCATTTTGTTCTTCGAGTTAGCTCTGGAAGATATTCACGAAGCCACTGATGCCACATGCCATTTTGGGTGACGCGCCACTGCTTTCTTAAATACATCAGTCTAGGATCAAACGGTGATGGAGTCTGAGTTGAATTGGTACATCCTAGCAGAAAGTGATTTGCGGGATCTGGGTCTTCTGGAGAATCCGGCAAATGGGTACGTGCCCTACTGTTGACCATATTCTCCGTTTCAATCAGGAACGCTTGTAGAGTCTCGAGTGTTGTGTTTTGCTCCAGGACGCTCCCATTCGCCGCCTTCAATGGCGTATTGTAGGCCCATTTTATTCCAAGAGCTGTCAGACCAGAAGAAGCGGAATTAGTATCTAAAAATGTGGTTATACCTTGCGGGTCCTTGGCTATGCCAACGAAATTCGTCTCATTGTCGCTTCTTATCGTCTCTGGAACTCCTCTTCGATTGATGAAGTTCCGAACACATATTAGGCAGGAATCACTCGACATGTCGGTTAGAATTTCCAAGTGGACAGCGCGAACAGTAAGGCATGTAAACAGTGCCAACCACCTATTTTCTCGCTGTCTCCAGATTTACACAGCTACAGGACCAAAATAGTCTTGTCCTGTATATGTAAAGGATCTGACATATGGTGTGACACGTTCCAAGTGTAAAGGGGTCATTTGTGGTTGATTTGGTTTGGCTCATGATTCTGTAATGATCTTCTTGGGCGATTGCAATTGGGTGGAACATCCATTGTATATCTCCCCACACGGCTACAGGAAATTCCCTGAATTTAAAAAGAATAGAGATTAGAGAGTTGTTTATGTCAGGTCCAGGTAATAAGGTTTTTTGTTGAACTTCAGCAGCAGCATCGAAGGCGATACGAATTCCATCTTTGTTATGATTTTTAAAGCCAAAATGTGGCATGTAAAACGTACGGTCGCTCCTTCTTTCTCGTTCTGCTATTGAAAGTTTACGGCTATATACGTTTTCCTCGTAATCTCTTATTTTATTTTTTTTTTGCAATATTGAGCTGCATATTCACTGTCCTTTGCCATTTTTCGTTCCACACACTGCAATCGGTTGTACGATAAATTGTACGATTCTGGAATTTACATTTACCTTAGTACTCAATGTCTCCACGTTGAAATATTGCCGCAACATGCTATGCATTTCCTGAAACAAGTCACAATTTTCTTCCTCGAAACGTTTCCTAGCGTGTAAAGGCCGCTTAAGATTGGTCCAACATCTGCCAGCATACGAGGAGCATCCAAAGGAACTGTTAAAAATGAATGTTGCAAGCTCAGCGGTTTTGTCGTATTCACTGGATTTAATTAAATGAACCAGATGGCAACTCTGTATTGACAATAACAGATTGGACGAAATGTAAACATTGGTTATCGGGTACTTGTTGCTGTACTCACCGACACCACTAATTGTCAAATTAATTTTTTCGGTTTTTTGTCCGTATTGGAGAGTATGTTTGCAAAGTTGACGAGTGCATTCAAATTATCATCTGTCAGCGGTGGAATGGCTCGGACTTTTTCTACTTGGCTTCGGATAAGTTGCTCTGGTCGACCAAATGTTTCTTGCAGGATTTCCAAAATGGCGCTGACGTTGGCATAACTCCCCAACATGGATTCCACTGTTTCCCTTGCCCGGCATCTCTCAAACGCATGATGTTATGGAGATTGGAGTAACCAAATTCGATTGTGGTGCTTTCGCAGGCTTCGAAAAATGCCTACCACTCCTCTGGAAGACCTGAAAAATAGGCAATGGATAATTTTGTATGTGCTTTTCCGTTGTAGTTATTTGTAAGTGAATTTGAAAAAGACTCATCCGTGTTGATAGACAGTGGCGGCAGTTGATGCACTTGAGTCTGTAGCTGTAGACTTGTTGTTGGCGGTGCTGTTTGTGGTGGCAAAACTACTGGATGTAATGGCGGCTGTGATGGCAGACTCAATGGCGGCTGTGGTGGCAGAGGAAATTGGCGGTTGTGACGTCAGTGTAGCATTGCCAACGACATTGTATTTTGCAAAGAAACAAACTGCTGTGACGTATTTAATAGCTGTGCTTGCATTTTTGTTTGTGCTGCTAAAAATTCGTCTTGCATTGCATTCATTTGACGTTGCATCTGCCCCATTTCCAATTTTATGAGTTTTCTTATCTCGGCAAATTCATTTGCTGGTGTATTTGAATGCGGTTTTTGGAGTTGTAACTGAGAAGAAGAAGATTTAAAAGTATTGGGGGCGGTGATTGACTGTTGCGGCTGCAGCTGACATTTGTTGCTGTTTTTGGTGGCTGCTGGTAGGCGTATCTTCTGTTGGTGAACGACAGACATATCGTAAGATTCAGGGTTATATCGGGCTGGAAGAATTCCTTGAGGGCAGCATCCACTGGTTCTTCTGGTCAGATCTTGGTTTTGTGGTATAAAACCGGCAAAATATCTTGTATACAGATAATAATTATTTTTTATGGCTTAAAGTGGTGAATTTTGTGATTTGGCCTCCGACAGCAGTTTTTATAAAATGTCCGTCCGTTTCAAACAACAGCAACAACAAACACGAATTCAATAAGACAATTGACGACAGAAATTAATTTGACAAAAACAAATAAAATAAAGAATAAAGTTGTCCTTTTTTGTTATTTCTATGAATAGACCTAAATTCGGCTAGGCTCCCAAATGGATTTTTTCTATTGTCCTAGGAATACTTGGAATTAACAGCACTTTCCAACATACGAATATATGAATTAATGTTTATGATGCATAAAGACAAATGCAAGAATACTGGATTAATATTATAACCAAAAAATCAGTTACGAAATTAGCTATATTTTTCATGCAAATTATAGAGAAGTTTAGGGTTTGTTCTATTTTCTTATCTGTTGATTATATTTATTTTACTTATATTTATGTATATGTTTTTAAATGTATAGTAATGTTTGTTTTTATGTTGTACGTAATATAGATAGAAAGCTATTGTTTTTGTTTATGTCGAACTTAAGTGTTATAGAAGGATATGCCCATTTCAGTTCGTTTCTGGAGGCCTAAAGATTGTTTTTCATTTATCTGTTTACTATTCCATTTATATTAAACATAAATTGCTTGGAATTTGCATTTTTCATCAAGAACAGTGAAGCTAATCAGATATAAGTCATTCTAAATTTGTAAATACTTCTATTAAGGTTTTAGTTAATTGAATCGGAGTACATAAGGTTTGTTAACAAAGTGTCTGATTGCATGTGGAACTCTTAAACTGTAGACATTAGAAAATGTTCAATACTAGTCCACTTTTAATGATAACCCCCATATAATGGACACGTGTTATAACTGAATTGTCTCTAATTTTGTTCCCATTGGGGTTAAAATCTTCCTGCCAAAAGTATGCCATGCTATATGCTCTCATTTTAAAGATCCTGAACGATTACAAATATTTCAAGAGTCCACCTCATGGTGAATGGTATAAACTTGTTTTTTATACCCTTTACCACACTGTGGTACAGGTTATTATGTCTTTGTGCTTATGTTTGTAACAGGCAAAAATAATCGTGATAGACCCATAGTTCCTTTTGAAAATATGCATAGAATCACTTTCTGAGTCGATTTATGCATGTCCGTCCGTCCGTCTGTCCATGTTAAATTGTAAACAAAGTACAGGTCGCATTTATGATCCGAATTGTATGAAATTTTGGACAGTTCATTTGTTTGGCCCAAAGACGAACCCTATTGAAATTGGGAAAAAATCGGTTCAGATTTAGATATAGCTCCCATATATATTTTCGTCCGATTTAAGGTAAATGGTGTACCAAAGTCCCTATATATCTTTCGATTTTCACAAACTTTGGCATAGCGTACTGAATTAAGTCTAAAATGATGTGTGCAAAGTTTCGTGAAAATCGGTTCAGATTTAGATATAGCTCCCGTATATATCTTCGTCCGATTTAAAGTATATGGTGTACCAAAGTCCCTATATATCTTTCGATTTGCACGAAATTTGGCCCAGCGTACTGAATTGCGCCTATAATAAAGTGTGCTTAGTTTCATGAAAATCGGTTCAGATTTAGATGTAGCTCCATATATATTTTCGTCCGATTTTATGTAATTGGTGCACCAAATTCCCTATATATGTTCCGATTTGCACGAATTTTGGTATAGGGTACTGAATTAAGTCTAGAATGATGTTGCTAGGCAGATTGACACAACGTACTGAAGTAATATAAATTAGTCTCTGGCAAGTTTCCCTGAAATCGGTTCAGATATAGATATATAACAAACACGCTACGTCTGTTAGGATACATATGTAGAATATACCCAAAGTGGTGAAGGGTATTATATAGTCGGCCCAGTCCGACTTTACTACTTTTCTTACTGGTTTCTTATATAAGAATTATTGGTCGACTCTATATGAGGGGTAACACTGTTAATACAATTTAAAATTATTCTTTTTCTTACTTTATTCAATCTTTCAAAAAGTGAGATTTCAGCTATCATGTCTCAATTCTCAGATTTTGTTCCTATACTGGATTCCAGATATGTCAGCTTTGACCCACTGTACCCTTGCGGAATGTAGCAAATACTTGTATTTATCATTGTCTCACAATGGGTGGTTTGATGATACATAGATTGGTAGCCTGGGAATTTCTAAAACAAATAATTTGAAAACAGTCTACATTGTAAAACATTCATCGTCTCAAGTGCTCATCTTCTGTTTGTTTGATTTTTACGCATTGATTGTTTTATTAGTTTTGTCCATTTTGTTTTTTTTTTTTTCATTTTAGTGTAGTTCACAAAAATATGTGTGTGGATCCAAAGAAGTAGGCACATATTTCGATGTCTGCATCATGCCACATTATCCGTTTCTTAATCATGAAATTTCATTGAAGATGTTTTCTTTTCGCTTCAATTGCTGCAAATATTTATTGCTTATCTGGCTTTTAAGTAGTTCAAGTTTAAGATCTCTCATTTAAAGAAAGCAAAATATTGTTGTCTGAAAATAGAAAAATGTCCGTAAATAAAACTGCAACAACATTGTATTATTATACTTTTTATTATATTCTGTTATTATCATTTTCTCAATTCCGATGTCTGGAAAAGTCGTAAATGCCAACAAGTCATATAAATTCAATTTCGTTTTAATTGTTTTAATGGAAAGTGGTTTGTTTTTGTTTCTTATGCGGTCAACTTCTAGTATTCGCCATCTCTTATATGCAAATATGTCAGTCTAATTTTAGGTTAAATTTAATACCGATTTTAGACACATTTTCGAATATATCTACATACATACGTTCAAATTATGGACTTGCACTTATTAATCAGAATATTGGATAAGTAATTGTACAACATTATTTTATACAGTCTCTAACCAATATACGACGTTATTCAACGCACAATCTGTTGTTGACATCATTCAATATAGTTTGAGACCTAAGGACCAAATTATTTTTCCATTATACTGCATATGAGCTTGTATTTTCTGTTGTCCCACAGTGCAATTACACAACGGAA